TGAACCACCAGCCTTCTGGTTAGCAGTCAAATGCCTTATGCACTACACCACCAGAACCCAAAACCCTAGGGTTTAGATACTGACAAGAACAAGGGGCATGCCAGGAGAACTCCAATGCGCTGATTCATAGAAGATACTCCACCAACAGCAGCAATCAAAAACTTTAATATTCACCAATCGCTTTCCTCTGAGGAGCATTTCATTAATCTTCACAGCACCATGGGGATGTCTGGGAGAGTGATTACTGATACTCTTTGTTATTCACAGTGAGTTCTTTCTCTCTCTGTGTGGCTACATCCATCCAGTCCTTTGCCCAGTTCCTTGCAATGGCCTTACAGGAGGCACGGAGGTTCTAGCAGTCACCTGTGGATGCTAGGGGACAACCTGAGAGGATAGCATCAATGGCACACCCAGTACACACCCAGCACTCATTGGCCCAGATAGGGCTGTGGGCACTGGCCTGAGGACCCTGTCTCAGACATTTCTGCCCTACCCCACATACACAGAAGGCCACCTGAGACCTCAAATCCCCCTAGTAAAATCTAGAAAATGCCAATGGGACCTCTGGTGTGGGGTAGGGGAAGAGAGGAGTGTGGTGAGGAGTTCCCCTTCTCTTTTCACTTTTCACCCACTGCCTGGCCCATGGCAGGTGCTTCACAGATGATGATAGACAGGAAGGCAGATGTCACCCAGGGAGACTGCTGCCAAGGCAGAATCCCAGGGAGGACTCCCTGGTTTTGTGAGGCCTCTGTGGACCCCAGTAACTCCTCCAAGGCTGCTGGAAGTATTCTCATCCTTCTGTTGTGTACCTCAGAGCCAGCCTGAAAGAAATGCTTTGGAACAAGTATACTTGACCAGAGCAAGGTCAGGCATGTCTAGGGAGTGTGATGAACAGCACTGGATATGCTCAGGGCTTTTCCATCTAACATTTGGGCCAGATCACTCTTTGTTGGGAGGCTGTCCCATATTGTGGGATGTTTAGCAGCATCCCTGTAGCACCTGCCCCCAACTGTCACCTATGACAACCCACTTCTCCAGACACTTTCAAATGTCCCAGGCAAAATCACCCCTGGCTGAGAACGCTTGGTGTAAACTATTAAGTTGCCATCCTGATGCTGTAAGAAGAGACATTTCCTTCTAGGACTTAGGGAAGAAAGTAGGCAACTGTGAGGCATGATGCCTCAGACAGGAAGGAGGCTTTGGAAGGGGCTGGAAGGTGCGGGATGGACACAAAAGCAGAGCTGTGGCTCATCTGCAGTATATTATCCAAGGCTATATTTATGTCCAGAAAGGAGGATGTTTTCTTCCTTACCTGTTCTCTTCCCTTTTTCACAGCTATGAAAAACACCCCAAACCTATTGCCTTCATGTCAATTCCAACTTATAGAGATCCCGTGTGTGTCTGACTAGAACTGCTCCATAGGGTTTTCTTGGCTACAATCTTTATGGAAGCAGATTGCCAGTCTTTTCTTCTATGGGTCCACTTAGGTTGGTAGGTGAGCACAAATTATTTTTGCCACTAAGGACTTTTTCAGAGTTATAACTCCTAGTTATTACTCCTAGTAATGAAATAAACTAGGGTCTGGCAATCAACTGTCTCTTGTAACTGTTTAAAATGCCTTGACTTTTATGAAACATTGAGCCATTGAGCACAGTCGATTGTAAACTGTGCAATATCTACATTCTCATTCTATGGAGGAGGGAAATCTAGGCCTTGAGAAGTAACAGGCAGAGTCAGATAAAAACAAACAATACTGCAGCAAAGTGCTGTGTGAGGCCTGAATCTCAGCCTGAAGCTCTCAGGGGAACAGATGGTAATAAAGACATCATTAGCTTTTGACCATTACCACTTTTGAGTATGTGCAGGCTGAAGGTACCTCTATAGTCACCTCCCTAACTTCAGGGGAAGGGGACCTACTATTGAAGGAAATAAAAACTTATTCCAAGGAAAATTACATTTATGTTTTTGCTTTTTTTGCCTTTTGAAAAAAGGAAAAATATAAATGTGTTTTATTTTTTTGCCTTTTAAAAATAGTCCTTTTGCTGAGTGTGCTCCTGAGGAGGAAGTAGCCAGCCATGCCATCATTGTCACCTCTGCAGACCGAGTTCTGCCTCATGGGGGAAAAAGCACATGGAAATGTTGAAGTAATGGAGTGTGGACAATGAGAGTGGGGGAAGGAGTCACCTAGCCCAAGAAAGATGTTTCAGGGTAGGAAGGAAGAAGATGCTACCCAAGGTAAGTCTGAAAGGAAGCGGGGCAGGGGTGAATAGGGCAAGGAGTGCAGAAACTTTAGAAGGAGGGTGTGGGCAGGGAGGGAGGGAGGTGAGCTGGCAGGAGGGTGCACTGATGAGCAGGGGTGGGCATTACCAGATAGGGGTGGGGAAAGCAGGGCCTGGATGGTATTCTAGGTGGGGAGACAGCACACACAAAGGGACAGAAAACAACTCTGTTCCCTGTGTACAGGGAGCTCCTAGCATTTTGGTGCTCTTGAAGCAGACAGTGTAAACAGAGGTCTTTCATAAATTCATGTCCTATGCTGTGCAACCCTTAAGGACTACCTGTTTTTGACAATAACAGTGAGTGGGACTGTTTTTATACATCTCAAGGCTCTAGGTCAGTGCTCACAGTCCTTGCATTAAGTCTGGAGCTAAGTCATCAAGGCCTATACTTTTTTTTTTTTTTTTTAACTGTAAGGTTTAATTTTAGATAGCATGGACTGTACAATTGTACTTATAACCATTTATCCTATCTTTTTCCTGTTCCATTTTTCATTGCTTACATTATATTTTACTTTGGCAGATGTATTAGTCTCCTAGAGCTGCTGTAACAAAGTACCACAAACTAGGCAGATTAGAAAAACAAAAAATTATGGTCTCAGCTGAGGGGGGGAGGAGTGAATGTGAGGGAAGGACACAGGGAAGAGATGGCTGTGGAGAGGAAGTGGGAGGAGAGCTATTGCATTGTGGGAGATTACAGTCAATGTCATGAGACAAAGTGTATGTAAACTGCTGTACAAAAGATGAATTTGCTCTGTAAATTTTCACCCAAATCACAATAAAATTAAAAATATATATATGGGATCACAATTCTGGATTCTGGGAGTCCAAAATCAGGATATCTTCCATGATGATTCCTTTTGAGGGCTCTGAGGACGAATCTGTTCCTTGCTTCTCACATCTTCTGGTAATGGCCACTGATTCTCAGCATTCCTTGACTTGTAGATCTATTACTCCAATCTCTGCCTCATTTTTATGTGCTGGTCAATGCTATTACAGTTCTGAAACTCTGCTATTGTGATACTCTGGCCTGTGTGATTTCTTAAACTCTAGGGAGTTGTGTGTAGTTTATGTTCAGAACTGTAGAAGAATGAGTCCCACCAGTTCCAAGTGCTAGTACTGTCCTTGCACCACAGTGGAGCTACTATAGGACCCAGATCCCAAGGTGAACTGCCACCCCAGGATGAGACCACCTGGGCATGGAAAGCAGTATAACAGGGCTGGAGGAGACCTAGGGGCCAGGCTGAGGGCCAGAGGAGATGAAGAAAGGGGCAATAGAGAATGGGGAAGGGTCTTTTTCAGGGAGTGAAATCTAACCACACCCACCCAAGCCTTTCAATGAAAGCCATTCCAACCCTAGACTGTAAAGTCTCCTCAGAGCAGAAAGTCTCAGTGAGCAGCCTTGGTGTGCCGGTACTAACAGTAGATCACTTTAGCTGAACATGGGCCTTTTATTTCCCAGCAGAAAAAAGTGATTTGGGTCAAGAGGTACCTAGGAACCTGAAAAGACGACAGCCTGGAAAGACCATCATAGGCTGTTCTTTTAGCACCCCTAGTATGGTAGTTAAAGTTGTATGTCAGCTTGGCTGGGCCATGGTTTTGTGCAGCTGGGCAGCTAGATGTAGCTATTACCCATAATGAGACTGTAATCACCTCCACTGTGGAATGTGCTGTGAGATATTAATCAGTGGAAAGGGAGCTGCCTTTGGCATGTGGCTTACTTCCAGTATATATGGAAGAGCTTTGGAAAAGGTCTCTAGCTTTTTGGCACATATAGATCCTACATTTGGTCAAGTGATCATCTCCAATTCCTGGATTTGAACCACTAGCCTGCCATGTTGCCTCTCATTCTTGGAATTGTGCCATTTTACTTGTCAATCTTGGGTTCATCAGCCTCGGTAGCTAGCAGCTATCTGAGTTAGGAGATGCCTCTAGTTCCAGTTGGCATGGAACAAGAGGCAGAGTTAAAGCCCAAGGTTGAGTGAGGGGCCTTCACCTTGCCCTGAGAGCTAGCACTTTGAATTTGGACTTCTAGCCTTCTAAATTGTAAGAGAATAAATTCCTGTTTGTTAAAGCCATCTGCATGTGGTATTTCTGTTATAGTAGCAGTAGAGGACCAAGACACCTGCACAGCCTACCTCTACCTTGGAGAGGACCTGAGAGGACCTCATGCATCCACTGTTTTTACCATCCTCTTCTGCTTTGCCAAATCCATGCCACTGCTGAGCATAGTAACCCCTGAAGACACTTGTAATGACATTTAAAAGCCTCAGTGACCACTGAAATACCTCCAGGACCAGACTTAAGACAACACAGAGGATCTCCCAAGCACAGTGCCAACTGAAAGCAGCCAGACACATGAGAGTGCCAGCTGTGTGATTTTATTCACACAAAATTCAAAGGAAGCAGAGCTCACATGTACTGGTAGAGGTCAAGGCAGAGGTAACCCTGTGGGGGGAGTGGCTGTAGGAGTCTGAGGGGGCTTCAGGGGCTCTCTTCCTTGTTTGGGTGCTTGTGACATAAATGTTCAGTTTATAACGTACACTTTTCTGCAAGTGTATCAGTCTTCAATAAAAAGCTTTGCAATGTCTCTGCACTTCAGAGACTGACAAGAATAGGGCTGTGTGAATGGCATAGTGGTCAGTGAGCACCCAGTCTAACCTTTGGGACCTTAGGAATAGGCCATGGCAGCCCTTGGGGACATGACCCGAGGCCTAGACTCACCGGCTGCAGTCCATCCTCCTGCCTTCTGCTCTGTCCTGAGTAGGTGATAAAAGACCGCGTGGAAACTTTGTAATGGTTCAGCAGGCAGATGATGACCACAACCATCACTGTGACCACCACAATGATGATGATAATCTGGGCGAACTCCAGCTCCGCTGTGATGGGAGAGGAAAGGGTGTTAGCCACATGCCCCTGATGCTCCTGTTCTCAAGACCACTTACCTACATGAGTAACAGTAACTGCAGTTACCAAGAGAGAAGTGCAGGGCATGTAATGGCTCCTCACAGGACTTTAATACCCACTTTAAAGAAGAGGAAATGGATGCTCAGGCATAAAGCAAGCACATGACTGAGCTAGGACTCAATGGGAGGTTGTGGAATTTTGAAGCCTGTGATCTGGCTCCCACATGGCATTAAATACAGGCCATTGCCATACCTGAACACTAATGGCATCTTGAAGAAAGGGAAGCACTCATATGAGACTTGCTCCAACTGACCTCTGGGGCTAAACCTCATGCATTTCACAGTTTGTCTTGGCCATTTTATACTGAAAAGGGCCTTATGAAAATTTATTCAATAGACCCTACAAGAGCCTTCTGAGATGCTGTGAGGTTATTATCCCCATTATCCACATGGGACATCACAGTGCAGGTCCAGTGAGCATTACAGGCACCTGGCCCTCAGGGCAGCCAGTCCATGTTGGGCAGGTACTCTGAGCTCTGTCTTCTTTTGGTGTATGAAAAGCCCAGTGTCACCATCACCTAATTCTCCTTCTTTCCAGCTGACATCCTCTGTCGCCTGATTACCCAGCGGAGTTAATAAAAGCCTCTCAAAACAGAAGCTACTTCTTTCAATATAATCTCTCTCAAAAAGTTAAGCCATCTTTATGGTTGAGTCTTATTTCCTAAGATATTTTCTGTAGACTGAAGGGAAAAAACATGTTGTTAAAAAGACACTTTCAGAATGATGTCAGCAAGATGGTGGAGTAGGCGGCTCCAAGCCCCTGTCCAGAAAAAACAAGCAGAAACTGTCAGAACCAACTTTATCAGAATGCTGGAAAACAGTCATAAGCTTACAGCAACTAAGTGAATGCTGAATCAAGAAAGAAAAAGGTACGTTCAAAATTGAAGGAAAGCTCTGTGGTACTTTCCCTTGCCCTTGTCCAATCTCCACTCCACCTTGGCAGTGATCTAAAGACAGCAACTCATGTTGCCAGTGTACATGATTCTAGAGGAAGCAGAGCACATCTTATTAGCAAATTACTGCTTGTTTTAACTTGTCTGGAGTTTACCTGAAGGACTGACACAAGGTGCTCATTTGTTTCACCTATCTTGGAATGCACTTAGGGCATAAAAGCAATGGGCATTCCTAAAAAATATTTTGATGTGGACAAACAACCTGCAGCCACAGGTGAGATATAAAATAGACTATGTAAAACCCAAATGAAACCCACTGCCACTGAGTTGATTCCAACTCATAGTGACCCCCATAGGGTTTCTAATGCTGTAAATCTTTACAGAAGTACACTGTCTCATTTTACTCCTGTGTAACAGATGGTAGGTTTGAACCTCTGACCTTCTGGTTAGCATCCAAATGCCTTACCCAATAGGCAACCAAAGCTCCTTGACTACATAAAGGCAAGTTGGAAAAGTGAGGGAGAACTTTTTTTTTTTTTAATTAGGGCATTCAAAAGCACTCATACACACACCCTGGGCAAGAATTATGTTCAGAGAACACCTGACAAAACCCTAAGCTTTCATGATGGGATGCTCTTTAAGCTCAGTGTAAACCTGGATAAGTCTTAAAAGAATGCCTGATTGCTGAGCCAATCTCAAAATACAGAGAGAGGTGGCAGGTGGGTGGAGAATTTTTTTTTTTTTTTTAATTTGCTCTTGCTATTTGTTTCACTTGATTTTATTCTCACTCTTGGCATTCAAGGAAATATCTGCCAAAACACTAATTGAAAATAAAGTAAAGGAACAGAGGCTTCAGTGACCACATACATCAAGGAATACATTCTTTCAAAAAATAGTCTGTAAAAGTTGCTTACAACTGTCAACAATCCAAAACAAAGCAAGCCTTAGGAAGGGGAAGAATCTGATTTTCATAGTTACATTATAATATTCAAATATCCCAGTTTCAACAAGAAAATAACAAGGCATAAAAAGAAACAGGAAAAGATAGGCTACATAAAAGAACAAATTAGAGTTATAGAAACAGTTGCCTTAGAAGTTAAAATAATGATTTACCAGATAAGGATTTTAAAATAAAAGTATAATCAAAGAGCTAAAGGAAAACACAGATTCAAATGAACAAACAAACTAAAGGAAGCCAGGAAAAATTATATGGGGACTATATAAGAATATAAGTATGTAGAAATTTTAAAAGGCACTAAGCAGAAATACTGGAGCTGAGAAGCAAAATAAATAAAAAAGTTCACTAGAGAGATTCAACAGCAGATTTCAAGTGGCGTAAGAATAAGTTAATTTGAAGATCAAACTCAAAAGCCAACTCACTGGATTCTGACTCATGGTGGCACCTATAGGGTTTCCAAAGCTGTAAATCTTTACAGAAACAGACTCTCTCATCTTTCTCCTGAAGAGTGGCTGGTGGGTTTGAACCAATGACCTTTTTGGTTGACAAACAATGCCTTAACCACTACACCATCAGAGTTCCTTAATTTGAAGATAGAACAATTGAAATGATCAAGTCTGAGGAGTTAAAAAAAAAAAAAAAAAGAAGAAGAAGAAAGAACAGTGAACAGAGCTGAAAGGACCTGTGGTACACCATCAAACAAACCAATATATGCATTATGGGAATCCCAGAAAGAGAAAAGAGTTAGAAAGGGGATGAAAGAATATCTGATGAAGTAATGGCCAAAATCTTCTCAAATCAGATGAAAGACATGAATCTACACATCTAAGAAGGTCAATTAATTCCAAGAAGGATAAACTCAAAGATATCCAAGTAGAGACACACTGTAATCAAACTGTTGAAAGCCAAAGCCAAAAATTCTTTTGGGTATTTACCTAGCAGTGGAATTACATCATATGGTCATGCTATGTTTAACTTTTTGAGGCACCATCAAGCATTTTTCTACAGAGCTGTGTTATTTTATATTCCCACCATCAATGGATAAGTATTCCAGTTTCTCCACATCTCCTCCAACATTTGTTAGTTTCTTTAAAAAAAAAAAAATAATAGCTGTTGTTGTGGATATGAAGTGGTAGCTCATTATGCTTTTGATTTGCATTTTCTTAGTGACTTTTGAGCATCTTTTCATGTGCTTACTGGCCACTAGTCTGTCTTTTTTAGAGAAATGTATATTCAAGTCCTTGGCCCAGTTTTCAATTGTTTGTCTTTTCCTGGTTGAGTTGTAGAAGTTATTTATATATTGTAAATA